TTGAATGTCTGTGGCCTGTGGAAGGCAGGACCCAGACAGAAGAGGGTCCAATATCCACCATCATTTTCTAGAGCTTGGAGAATAAGAGGAGAGCAGTGGGGTAACAGAAATAAAGTCAAGAAATAAACAAAGGGTACATGTATTTGAATGAAAAGATTTTTAGAGCCTTGAAAACCACAGGAGCTCCTCCAGATATTTATGTAATAGAATATAATTTATCTGGGATTGAGAGAAGAAATAATCAAAACGTTTTTCACTTAAGTGTGTCGGGAGGCATATGAAGTTAGACTCTTGGTGGTGGCCCGCGCTTGACTGTGTTCTTGGTGTTTGTCCTTGGGCTGCAGGCTGGAAATGTGTTTTCTAGAGTAGACATGAAGCACGAAATATTAAATGAACTTCACTGTCTTCAAAGTGCCCAACAGGGTAGCGTCCTCCTTCTTTGGCAGGGAAGGGACTCAGCATTTGGAAACTCAGCAGTGCATTAAGTATTTTAATAATCATTGTTGACATGCAAAGCATATGGCCTCACAGGACTCGCCAGGTCAAATGCTAAAGTCGTCTTCTAGTTCTCTAAAGTTACTTTTCAAAATTTAAACAAAATTAAATTAGGGCACGTTTCAAACTAATATTAATTTATGAACTTCATGTTATAAGCGAGTGATATAAATAGTTTGCTCCTAGGATATAAGAATACCTGTGAATAACTAAGTAACAAATATATATATACTTTTGTTCCTAAAATATAAATATATACATTTTTTGGTCAGGGTCTCACTCTGTCATCCAGGCTGGAGTGCAGTGGTACACTATGGCTCACTGTAGCCTCAATCTCCTCTGGGTTCAGGTGATCCTGCCACCTCAAGAGTGGCTGGGACCACAAACGTGCACCACCACACCTGGCTAATATTTTTATTTCTTGTAGAGATGGGTTCTCACTGTGTTGCCAGGCTGGTCTCGAACTCCTGGGCTCAAGCAAACCCACTTTAGCCTCCCAAAGTGCTGGCATTGCAGGTATGAGCCAGTTACATGCCTGGCCAGTAGCTGATTATATTAACATAAAGGAAAAAGCAAAATTCGCCCCACCCCCACCCCACAAAACAATTAACATTGTATTTACTTGCATTTACTTAAAGAATCTAGAAGCTCTGCTGAGGCAGGCCAGTCTGTTGGATACCTTATATTGACTTTGTACTTCCTGGTCACACTTTTAAGACTCATCTTTGTTATCTCCTCATCTCAGAGGCCTTCACTGTCCATCTTCTCACACTTTGGATCAGTTGTCTAGGACCACAACAATGTGAAACAAGCAGCTAGTGGCTTCCAGCAGCAAGCATCCCTGACTGCTCAGGCTGTGCATCACAGAGCCCTTCTTGTCCTTGAGGGCTCACCTCCATGCCTGTGGTCAGCTGTGGGGCAGGAGGGCACCTGCTCATGGTGGCTGAGCTCCCTCACATCTGGGAGTCAGCTGGCCAAAGACCAATCTGTTGGGACAGCAGGTTTCTCTTCCTTGTGTCTCTGGCATGCTCGTTCCCTGTACCCTTGAGCTGGCCAGCCCAGGCCTACTCTCACAGAGAGAGAGAAAGTGGAAAATGCAAGCATTTTCTTCCAAGCTTCCAGTTTCATGACATTTGTTAATGTCCCATAGATCAAAGCAGGTCACATGGTCAAGTGCAGGGACAGAGTAGAAAGATACTACAAAGTGACAGGGCAAAGGGTGGGGCTGTCACTACAGAGTGATGGGGGAAAGGGTGGGGATGTCACTACAGAGAGATAGGGCAAAGGGTAGGAATATAGGGAGGTCATTTGTTGGGACTCTAATGCTGCCATCCTACAGCCCCACCCTACCTGCCCAGCCATGTGTGAATCATTTTCTTATTTGGACTCTCTTCTGTTCTTCATTCTTAGTTCTATTTCATACTTTCCCAATTTTTCTTTTTCTTTTTTTTTGAGTCAGAATCTCACTCTATCCAGGCTGGAGTGCAGTGGCTTGTGCACAACCACCCTGGCGGCCTCGACCTGCTGGGCTCAAGTGATCCTTCCACCTCAACATTCCGAGTAGCTGGAGCCACAAGCGTGTGCCCCCATGCCCAGCTAATTTTTTGATTTATTGTAAAGAAGAGGTTTTGCCAAGTTTCCCAGGCTGGTATCGAACCCCTGGGCTCAGGCAATCCTCTTGCCTCGACCTCCCAAAGTACTGGGACTACAGGCGTGTGACACCACACCTTAGAAGGATCACCTGAGCCCAGGAGGTGGAGGCTGCAGTAAGCTGTGATCATGCCATTCCACTCCA